GGCAAGTTCTAATAGTGTTGTATTTGAATTAAATATTAACCTTTTGATCTTAGAATTGTAACTCTCAACCCGAGAAGTTGACAACATCCCTGCAGTAAATAATTTAAGTATAAATGCTTTTGCCCATGATTCCTTGTTAACATAAAGCACCCGTTGTAGATAATTAATTACATTTTCATTGTCATATTTTTCAATTAAACATTTCTATTTGTATTCGAATATTGTCATGAAAATGCTTTGCTGCACTTCAAAAAAATCTTTAATAAACTCATCATAATGGTCTTTGAAACTATTTTTCAGATTAAGAGGAAGATTTTGAGCGATATGAAACATGCAATGAAGAGCATTTGTCATTGGAAATTCATCACGTATTGCAGCAGTCAAAGCAGGGTTAGCATCGGTAAAAATGACATGTGGAATAGCTTCAGATGTTGCTTTCTTAATTTGTCACAATATCCAACTATGCGCCTCTTTTGTTTCATCATCTGTTAATGCCTGAGCCACCAATCGAGAAGACAAATGATTATCAACCACCAAAAAAAGCGAAAGCGCCATTTCATAATAGTTTGTAGCTGCAGTATTATCATTTAAAATTACATTACCATACTTTAACCACTGTTCAATTTGATCAGGAGACATGTAGAACAATCGACGAAAATATCTACTGTTATAGTTCCAATCTACTTCAACATATCATCGGGGTCTATTTCTTTTTTTTTTTAACAATTCTTCATACAAATGACTAGTATCATTTGTCTGGTTATAGGATTTTGGACGAAACCGTTGAATTTCCCGATGTAGCACTGGTATGTAAATCTTTACAGAATATTTTTTCTCAAGAGCTTTGCGAATTTGTTGAGGACTACAATTCATTTTTGTTACAAAAAATTCAACCTCCTTAGCCATATCTACTGCAAACTCAAAATTTTCCCAGAACTGGTAACATGCTCGATCAAGACTATAGTTTTTATGCTCATCAATTAATTTTGTGACATATACAATCTTGTAAGGGTTGTTTTTTTCTGAACAAGAAAGATTTATCTGCCATATGCATCCAATACGTTTAGAAGTCGTTTCTTTCTCTGTATCCTTACTTTTTGTTGACTCAGGCTACCCATAGTGTTCACAAACTAATGTGCGTCTTCTGATTGTACCATTCGATTTTTCAACACGATAACAACGAGTCTTAAACCCTTGTTTACTTCTATACTTTTCAATTTCTTTTATTGTATGATCCCAGTTACGGAATATCGTATTCGCTCGCAATTCTTCACCTTGAGTACCTTCATTTATCAATTGACACTATTCATCTACCATATCGGATTGAACACCTTCACAATTCATCATATCATGTTGAGTACCATCACAATTCGTCATATCATGTTGAGCACCTTCACAATTTATTATATCATGTTGAGTACCTTCACAATTCATCATATCATTGTTTTCATATTCAGTTTGATCATTTATATATAAAACATTGCTAACATCAAATTGATTTTGCTTATTATATAGGATATCATTTACGTCCTGAATATTTTCATATGATGTATCATCAGTAACAGAAAAATCATAAAGCGCATCATTACTAACAGTAAATTCTTTAAATTCTTCCATCATTCAGTTATAAATAGGACGAAGACCAAGCATCAAGACAAAAGGCTATATATAAATAAGGCAAATCAAGTAACATGATGAAGAACTAGATGTGCGAAAAGTAAAAAGGCAAGAATTAAGTATAAAATGATAGTGTAGAACGATAGATCGATAGATCAATAGATTAGTGTAGAACGGGAGAACGATAGATCGATAGATTAGTGTAGAACAGGAGAACGATAGATTAGTGTAGAATGATAAAGCGAACGATAGATCAATTGTAAGGAAAAATTTCTTATATGTCTGATCAAAATATATCATCCAACATAATGACTACGTATTTAATGAATTATGTAAGAGTAGCGTCATGGCACTATGTTTATTTCAACACTATTTTTTTATTTAATAAACGGGGTAGCACTGCGGCACTATAGGGTAGTGCCGCAGCACTATAGCACTATAATAATATTCCTATATAATATAATATAATAAAAATACTAATAATAATACTAATAATACTAATAAGAAGAAATTAAAAAAACTTATTCTATAACACTAGTATTGTATATATATTTTAACTATATAGTCAAGACCTAAATCCTAACTCTAATATAAAATTTAATTTTCATTTTAATAAAATTATTTTGATCTACATATTATACAATTTTCATATATATGTCTTGAACACACTGGTGCGATATATAATTTTTGTTCTTTTTTTACTAAATAAAAATATACAGTCAGACTTCTCTATAGTCACCTCCTCTATAATCACATTTGCTTATAATCATATAAATTTTTAAAACCTACTTATATAGTACTTATAAAATTTAACCTTTATATAAGTACAAACTTCCTATAAGCACCAAATTCTTAAAACTAAGGTGTGATTGTAGAGAGGTTTGACTGTATTTTCTTTTTTTTAACTATTTTGACTGCAGTTTGTAATTACAGTATATATTTTGTTTTTGTAAATATATATAATTAGTAGCATTTTTAATACATATAAAATTGTATAATAATAAGAGTATAAATTGATTTTGCAAATTTATAGATTTTAAAAAAAAAGCATTATTTTCGACGTACAGGCATATTTATTAGATTATAAACTTTTTTAAATAGCAATATTAAGTAACTTATTTTGCAGCATGAAATAATTCAGTTCGCAAAGCAAGTAATCAAAAACGAATATACTATTTGAATTGTAATTGGACTTCCAAGTCCAGTCGAATAAAATTACCAGTGTGTGAAATTCAAATTTCATTTCATGTTCTCACAAGAACATCTATATAATAGATTTTGAGATTTTTTATGTTCTCACATAAGTGTAACATAAAATTTTTATGTTCTCAGAGAACATTGAGAACATAGAATTTCGCACACTGATTCTGTAAATTGACTTGTTTAGTCCTATACCATATTGGTAAAGACCAAATATAGATATCGGGAATCTTGTGACGAAAATATTGTGCAATTGTGTCACCTCTAGTGTAATCTTTCAAATTTTAATTATGATATATAATAAACAAACCGGAATTTTGTTTGTTTGGAATATGATGTGAAAGATTTTGGTGCAAGGATATACAAATTAATGTCACGCATGACCAATCATTTGAATACAAATTTTTTTAAGAAATTTAGTATTAGCGTAACAGATGCGAGGATATGCAAATTTGTAAATGTACAATAAGACTAGTGCTAATCAAAGTTATTTCGAGAAATGTTGATCAGAATGACTAATTAATTAATAGAAATATATTACTTAATTGTATGTTGAACAATACATATTGAACCTTAACCATCAGAGAAGCGATGAAGGATGTAGTCACAATAGGGCTATGAATTTTCTTTACATATACAGAAACGGTAAGGAATCTGCACTACATGTTTTTTTTTTATTCACACGCAAACGCTAATAAAGGTAATATGATGAATGCATCCCACCGAAACAATCTATGTTTAGGACTACTAATTTCAAAAGCTAAACGAAGATATAAATTTTAATCAATAGAAATAAAAGAAAGAAAATAAAGTTGATTCATTATTCTGTAAATTCTGTAAAAGTGGCTATGCTATACTATATCAATTTCACGTAACAAGCAAAAGAAACCGACATCATTAGCCGTCATACAATGCAAAGTAGAGTAGTAAAATAGTATGTTGTTTAAGAACGTTCACCACGAAGACGGCGGGCCAACTGAATATCCTTGGGTTGAATGGTAACACGTTTGGCTAAAGGTTGAAAAATAAATGTATGATGAAAATATTCACAAAGATGATCATTAAAATTTCATATAAATTGTTCATTGACATACCATGAATAGCCGCTAAGTTAGTATCTTCAAAAAGACTTACTAAATACGCTTCAGATGCCTAATTTTCAAAAAAAAAACCCGTGCCGCATTAATTATACGCAGCAATGACTAACATTAATAAGACAGTTATAAATTAAGATGTATTAAACACATACTTCTTGCAAAGCACCGATTGCACTAGATTGGAAACGCAAGTCCGTTTTAAAGTCCTGGGCGATTTCTCGTACAAGACGTTGAAAAGGCAATTTGCGGATCAAAAGTTCAGTGCTCTTTTGGTAGCGGCGAATTTCACGTAAAGCAACTGTACCAGGTCTATAACGATGAGGCTTTTTAACACCACCAGTTGCCGGTGCAGACTTACGAGCAGCTTTAGTAGCAAGTTGCTTCCTGGGGGCTTTGCCACCAGTACTCTTTCGGGCGGTTTGCTACGTAAAAGTTTTAAAAAAAAAAAAAAAAACATAAATTATCCTTCGAAGTCCCATGGTAAATAAAAATATATTACAAATGAGAGTTTTGCGAAAAAACTAAACGACATACCTTAGTACGGGCCATAACCAAAGACTAGTTTATTCAAAAGTGGAAGAGTGTAAGGTCTTTGGGTGATTTTTTGTAGACGTGGAGTAAAAAAGAATCTGAAAAAATATTTTAGGAAAGTGTAAGTTTTTTTTGTATTTTTATATTTAAGCGATGGGAATTTTTGTGTAAAAGTAAAACCACCAGAAGATCAGAAAAAAAGGGAAAACCTGGGGTATATGTGAAAATATGAATGGCCGTCAGCCTGACTACGTAGCATCTTCAAGGTCGGATCTCGTACAACGGATAAATTATTAGGTCCGATTTGTTGAGTAACTAAATTATTTTTGTATTGTGATTAGAAATTTGATTCATATTATATAATTTAGTAACACATACTAAATTAAGATGTTTATTTTTAGTATGGTGCAAAAAGTTTTAATTTTTCAACTATATGTTTTCAATATCTAATTTTGTTTTTTTATTCTTTTTTATAGTATTTTATTTTTTTATTTTATTTTTGCTGGTAAAAAAAACTATTTGTAACCGCTGGTTATTGTAACCAGTATCACATGTTTAAAGCGTGAGAGCCAGTAAAATTCGCCAAACAAAATTCGACAAAGTTGGTTTAATTTTGTTTGTCAAAATTCTATTTGTTAGATTTTAACCCACGTATATACATAGGTATATAACTTTTTATATAGTAGTTTATTAAAAATTACATAGTACAATAAAGAGTAATTATATATATAATTTATTTTATTATGTTTTTTATTTTTGTTAAATTTTAATAAAGAAATAATCTACTTGTCGCCGGTGGTGACAATACCGGATTTTATTTAAAGCTATATTTAGGGTCAGAAAGGGTCATAATATATAGTAAAATTATGCAAAGAATATTTTTTGTTAAGACACAGAAGTTGGTTTTATAGGCATAATTTTGAGTTATTTTGATTTGAAATTTTTATATTTTCGAATTATGCAATCTGATTGGTCTGGGTCTGTCACTATCGGTGACATTCTGTCACCGCTGGTGACAAATAGATTCATCTTTAAATAAAATTTAATTTATAACTATATATTAATTATAATAACTACAGTTGCTATTACGAAAAGACATCAACTTTTTAATTATAAAATTTTAAATTTCTTATAATTTTTTAAAATAAAATAATCTAAAAAAGATTTGGATATTCTATAGAATAGGTGGGCAATATAAGAAATAAGCTTTGCTAATAATTAGTAATTATTAATTTTTTAATAGCGAAGTTTGCTGAGTTTGCGGAGTTTGCCCACCTATTCTATAGAATATCCAAAGAGTTTTTATATACTGTATTTAATAGCTTTTTGTTTAAACTATCAAATCTACAAAAATTATTTAAATATCTTATATACAGTATTTTTAAAGACTTACAGTATATCATTTAAAAGTTATATATAATTTAAAATTTTGGCACTTATATATAAAAAAATATAACAAAATTCAAATTTATTAATAAAAATTTAAATTTTATTAACAAAATTTAAATTTGTATTAAGTTTTTTTGTATTTTTATTGGATAATTATGTTATATAATAGCTAAAAATTGACATCTATATATAAAAATATGTTGGTTTTAAGTAGTATTTACTATAGTAGTTACAAATAATTTATTTTTTTTTATACTAGTAATACAGTCGTACTCTTCTATAATCACCTCCTATATAATTACAAATTCTATACTATCACCTTAAATTTTGAAAAATTTATTAATAAACTTATAAAAAATACTTCTATATAAGCACATCATAATAAAATTTTTATAATCACATATTTTTTGCATAAAACAAACTGGATGATTATAGAGAAGTATGACTGTATTTAATTTTTTTTATTTATTTTTTAACAACCTTGCTAGTAATTTTATATTAAAATTACTATATTTATAAATATAGTTTTAAGTTTAATTTGAGATTTAATATTTTCTGACTATTTTATGAATATCTAGAAGTAGTTTGTTATACTAATTTAATATTATATCAAAGTTGAAATATTAAATTAAATTAGCTATACAAATATTACTAAAAGATTTGCTATTATTTTAAACTATTTTATTAATATTTTTTTCTTTTCAAATTCTGTTTGCTTTATTTATTTATTTATTTATTTTTTTTTTAGCATGTCCTGTCACTGTTTTATTAAGGTATTAACTA